AAACATTTTAACTTAACCCCCTGTGTTCATTTAGTCATGACTATTTACTAATTTGATTATTATATATGTAAAATATGACCGACAATACTACAATAGAAATAACTGATCGTCAACCAATTTTTAATAAAAACAACAGTGATATTTATTTAGCTTGAATTTTAAAATTACCTTAATAGCCGTCATATCTCTAATTATAACATGCAAAATGTAAGTGCACACAACTCTAGTAATCATTTTAACAATACGATATAAACGAGAGGGGAACGCTACTAAGGGATACACATACCGCCAGATGATAGTTCAAAAACTCCCGTTTAATGACGACACAAGGGCCAGAAAAAATTCTTACCTGTGATGGAAAAAAAATGAAGAAAGAGAAAGAAGATAGAGCAACAAAAATCGACCGTCTTAAAATTAAATAACCGAGTGCACCATTCCTATTCTTAGAGAAGCAAAGTAATATTAAAGAAACTTTAGTATATACGATTTACTGCAAGTGCAATAATCGCTTTCAGTTGTTTGCCTGATTAGAATGTCTTTGATTCGTAATGTCCCTTGTATTGGAATTTTTGCAATAATCTAGCGCTATAGGCCATCGGCTACTGCATAGATGCTGACTATCTTGCCAAAATATTTTCATATAAGAGAAAGTTCAATCAGACCAACAGTTAAAATATTACCTACGTTGTTCTCGTTGAAATATATTTTAAAATTCCTCATTATATGGTAAATGAGTGAAAGGGGAAAATAGGGGAAATGTGGGGCAGTGTGGTGGAAAGTAGGGGAAAACGAAAGTCGAAACTGTAGACCGCCAACTATTTTCAATCCTCCAGACTCAATTCAAACGATTACAACAAAAAACTCAGGCTCGGACCAAAAGTCATTGTTTTAAATGGAAAGAGTAGAGCTGCAAACTAATTTGAGAGTAAATATAAAAAAATATTTGTTAGGCTACAAACCTTTGAAGATGCTTAACATTAGAATGCAGAACAGATTCTAACCACTGACTGTAAAAAGATTTGCTTACGTCCAAAAATCGTTGATTAATTTCATAGATAATTTCCAAATGTCGAGGCAGCATATGCTCCAGCAAACTGACTGGCCAACGTTCAAGAGCCTCCGGCAATACCGTGTGGTTAGTATAGGCAAAGGTTTTTTGGCAGATGCTCCAAGCCTAGATAAGAAGGGGATCAACCATACGCAAATATGTTAGCAGCTTCGCGTTTTGTAACCTTGTCCCATTTAAGATTTTCAATATCCACGAATATCCGCATCAACTCTGGGATAGCCATTGACGGATGAGTATCGTTTAATTGTATGGCCACTTTGTCAGCAAAAGAGTCAAAAGTGCTACGGATGGCGGAACGGGTGCCATACTTTGACGACTGAAAACGACGAATGATGTCCTGTAAGGTAGCCGCCACCAGAAAATACTCTTGCTTGAGACGTAATTCACGACCTTCGAACATCTGAAACGTCGCACATGAAGCATTAACAGAAAAACATGGACAATTAGAAATAGAGACGACAAAACGCTTAAAAAGCATTGCTAACTGCTCAACAAAATTAGATTATTCAAGCATAGTTATTCAGTCCTTTTTTGTCTTTCATACATCCTTTGTTCTAAGTCCAATATTGATATTATGTTAAATACTACACAAAAATATGACCTTATTAATGAGACGCTGTAAAAATAACGACTGACCTGACACCATTCGACGAAATGAGTGACTGACACAAGGATCGGGACGCTCTTTGAAAATAATGTACCACTATTAACTAAGCTATATCACTTGATTTACTGACATACATGCAAAACTTTCTTACGTCCAAGAACATAAATGGTTGCCGCAAATGTTAAATAGGTTGGCAAAACTCGTTCAGTAAGAACTCTCTCTTTTGCATTTCAGTGAATTTCGTTTTTCGTTCGCTTATGTGAAGGTTTACAAACATGATTTTTAAGCTAAACATTTTGAGTCTTTTAGATCCTTTTATGTATCAAACTCCTGGTTTGGAAATTTTATTATAGTTGAACACAGCCGACAACTTGGTTTGAAAAACAGCCTTCTGCATTTTACGTGTAAAAAAAGTCAGCAAGTGTCTGTCTACGACATATATGACTAATTTGCTTGATCCGGGAGAAAAGGGCTTTTATACAAATTAAACATCAGTCATCAGTCATGACTACATAAATGACAAGGAATTCTAAAGTAGATATGACTGTAAACAACATCGAATACATTCTCAAAACTGGCACAGATTTGCAAAAAGCAATGTAAAAACGAAGCAAAACCATCATAAAAAGAGTACTGGGAACGACAGAGGGAATAAATCTGAAAGCTCCTGGTACATCAAGGAACCGTATTTCAGTTTTTTGCATGTAACCACCAAATAAAAGTCCTACATACGTTATCGTTTGGATATAAAACACGGGTGATGTTCTCGGCGAGATTACGGTCGAGCACTGCCTGAATATAATCCCCATCGTTGACTAAAACGTAACACTTGAAAAATAAAACACAGAACACTTTACCTACAGAAAGTAAGATTGAAGTGGTTCTCAGCTTTGGCGGACCACAAACGTAACGTATTTACAATATTGTTTTGATAGCCAGGAATTGGCGTATCATATGGCATTGCAAATATCACCTATTCAAGAATAAAACAGTGAATCAGACGATAATGAAACAATAATATTACCTGAGAATCAACCCAAC